ACATGTTTTGATTACTTTCTGAGAGAGTCTCTATAGAGTACGTCATAATATAGAAAGGATCAAAGTCGTTTACATTTATTGATTGATTGAGATGGGGCCTTGCTATGTTGCTGAGGCTGGCTTTGAACTCCTGGGATCTAGTGATCCTCCTGAGTAGCTGGGATTACAGATGTGCACCTTCGTGCCCAGCTCACAAACATTTTTAGCCTTCCTTTTCTATACTCTATCCTCTACAATGTCACTTGCCAGTTCTTAGGATTGAGTTTGGTAGCTACGAATAGCCTTTTTGTGCTGCTAGAATGGCAGTTTTAGGGATTAAGGCCCCAGAATGAGCTATGACCTGTTTCCTGCTCTCATGATTTATCAGGAGTTCTTCCGAACTGTTGGCAGTGGGTGGAGGGAAAGGCCTAGGGAGTCAAAGCTGGCTGATGGGTAATTCTGTATTCAGAGTTAGGTGATGGTGACCAGCTACCTTGTTCAATCACAAAACTTGTTAAACTGCATAGCTTCTGTAAGGTGCACACCAACAACATTTTATAGGTCATAAACATTTCTGTTTGCTGTGCATTGCTTCTAGGTTACCAAAAGAAGAAACTAGATATTTTACCCACAGGGAATCACTCCGTTTCAGAAACTTTTTAGATGTTCTCAACTGCTAACCACATGATTTTCACCCTTATTTTTATTTCCTGGGGAAGTAAAATGAACTGCTTTAACATATTTTTCATCTGAGAAAGATAGAGTGCGTCATTTGACCCCAACACGAGGTCAGGGGGCGGTTCTGTTCTTCCTGCTTCTTTCCTCACCTGTGGCCATAATCCCCTGTGTCATGATGCTTGGTTAATGAGGAGGTGACTCATACTCCAAGTCATGGTTGAGGCTTTGCATAGGAAGGGAAGTAGTAGTCCTCATTGCCCCTGAATTCCAAACTGGGTACAGAAACAACTGTACCCTTGAAATTTACACTGTGACACATCTGAAGTGTGGAAGGAACATGGAGAGCTGGAGGCCTTTGCTGGAGCCTTCTGTGTTTAATACAGGGATGCAGTATTTATTCATGGGCTGAACAACCTTTGGCTACGTGATTCTTATAGCCTGTGGGGCTTAAATGAGCCGAGAGCCTTATTTGTGTGTGAGTTCTTATTTGTGATGAAATTTTATACTTTAACAGAAGTTTCTTTTCATGTGTAATTAATTTCTCAAGCCTCAAAGTTAAGAAGTTGGCAGTAGTTGCCCCGACACGACAGATACTATGTGATGGCGGATGAGCCTGCGCCTGTCCCACTGGAGTGTGAGCTTTTAGTTCTCTTCATCTTAGTATTGCTGGCATCTAGCATGTAAAAATGGTGGAACTGAATCTTTGAAACCATCATTTCTCCGTGCATGTCCGCCCTATGGAATGCTTTAAAAAAAAATGTTTGCTTCAGTTGCAGAAAGATTATTTCTGAGACATACCAGTCAGCCCTTTGCTAGTGTAATCCTGAGTGTCCAGAGATGCACCAACAGGCTTTTCACTCCCAACAGCAGGAGCCATACTGCCCTGACCCTGCTGCATTCGACAGAAGGCCCCCCGGGATCAGCTCTCTGTGTAATAGCGAGACTCTGCAAGCTGACCCCAAGAATGGAGCATGAGTGGGTGATTTTAGCTGTTCAAGAAGGACTGTTAAAAGCCCAGGAGATTTCACAGTGGGGATCAGAGCCAGTGCCCTGCACCCTGATCTGTCATGTGGATACAGACTTGTGTGTCTTTCTTTCCTTTACCCTGCATTCCATTATATCTCTTCATAAGGCATCTTTTGCAAAGCATAGAAGACTTAAGTGACTTCTTGTTTATCTTTAGTCTTATCTTTTGCTTGACAAAAAAAAAAAATTTCCAGAAACAAAAACAGTAGATTAGCCTGTTTGGATAGTATGCATTTTTGCTTGTATATGCCCAGATCATCCCTTGGGAGGGGGTAGAAAACTGATAACAGTAGTTATCTCTGGGAGGAGTCTTGAGGGACATGGGATCAAAAGATTGAACTTATTATTCTGTATCATTTTTGTATGATCTGAATTTTTACTCTATGCCTGTTATTACTTAAAAATATAGCCTGGGCTCAGTGCTCAGGCCTTTAATCCCAGCACTTTGGGAGGCTGAGGCAGGAGAATTGTTTGAGCCCAGGAGTTCATGACTAGCCTGGGCAATATAGCAAGACCTCATCTCTACAAAAATATGTAAGTAAACAGATGAGCCAGCAAGCAAGCTTCGCATGGTGGTGTGCACCTGTAGTCCCATCTGCTCAAGAGACTGCCTTGCAAGGATTGCTTGAGCCCAGGAGTTTGGTTTCTGTACTGTGCCCTTTGGACTAGGGAAATGGACCCAACCCTGATTTTTGAGATAATTCAAGCTTTCTGGGCTTACATGAAAGGTAATATGGGGACACACCCATGCTGCCATCACATGCTGCGTGGCCATGCTGGGACTTTATTATTTATGAACTGCTACTTCTGAGAGGTGCAGGAATTAAGTGAATAAAAAACCACATGAACAGAAATTCTTAAGAAAGGAATTGATCAAAATGTTAAAACCCACAGATGTGTTTTGGTTTGGGATTTCTTATGGTGAACTGTTGCTTTCCCTCATATTATCAAATTATGTTTGTGTCGGATATCCCAGCTTAAACTCTTTTTGAATGTAAGGATAATATTTGTAGTAGAAGAAACAATTTCTGTTTTTCTTTCCAGGGTTGATAAATTCAGCCCAGATTTTTAAATGTTCCGAGCGTTTGCCTGGGCTGCTCCCTGGCCTGCGACTCAGTCCACTTTTCGCTGGCTCTTCTTGGCTACCTGGTGTTTGGTTTTCGGTTTGCTTGGAAAATAAGCAGTGAGAACAGTTAGTGCAGTTTTTGTTCGCACTTCCTAATGGTGTTGGAAGTTTCCAAAGCAAATCCCACTTGAGTGCCTGGGGATCAGACCTGAGCAGCAGGTAATAATCGGTCCCCGGGGAGGATTCTGGAGCTGGTGGTAACTTCGCTCAAAAACCATTAGGAAGTGTGAACAAAAACTTCACTGATACTTTTGGAAGGGCAGGGCTGGTTCCTGGGACTGTCAGGTGACCTTTGAGGGCCTGCGGTGTTTTTGTTTCTCTGGGAAGGGCTCACAGAAGGGGCTGTGAGGAAGAGCTCTGGGAGTGTGCCCCGCTGGTGCTCCTGTCCTGGTGGGAGGAGAAGCTGTGCCTGCCTGCAGCTGCTGTGGCCATCAGGGCCTCCACACTCAGAGGGCAGCAACTTCTCCTTTTCAGGTACCTTCTGTTGGTATTTACAAAAGCCAAACACCCTGCGTTACCAGGGCTATCGTTTACCACATGACTGTCAGAAGAGAAAAACACAAATAATCCTCTCACCGTCCAAGTGACAAATATGCAAATTATTCCTGGCCAGGTCCTGGAAAATGTTCTAAAAAGACACTGGGTTGGCCGGGATGAGGTTGTGTGTAAAGACCTTGCATCTTCCCATCTTCCAAAACCCAGCACTCCCCGCTCTCCCAGCTGTGCACTGCTGTTTTACAGTTTAAACTGTAAAACAGCAGTGCACAGCTGGGAGAGGGGGGAGTGCATTGTAGCTCTCATAATCTTATCAGAAATGGGCTGGATTTTGTGAATCTGTTTTAAGTTCTTCTTGATAACTTTGTATACTGGATTCAAGTACTCTTATAATTTATGATTGTTGGCAAGCTGTGGTGGTTTCTCCTCTTTCTCCTTTTGTCTTCGCACATTTCAATTAGAACCTTAAACTCTCCTCAGAAAGAATTTACATTTGAGCCCTCCTTTCTGTGTGCTACAAAAAATGGCCCGTCAAAAATAAATTAAGAGAGAGAATTTTAATCAGGTATCTTGGTGCAGGAGGAAGAATTGGAGCTTTGGGGTGATGCAGAGCTGATTCTGAATCCTAGCCAGACCCCGAAACAGTTGCAAGACCTTGTGCTAGCTACCTAGCTTCTGAGCTTCAGTATCTTCATCTAGAACATGGGTGTTAATGTCTGCTTCACATCATTCTTGTGAGGCTTAAATGAAGGTGTTTTCAAGTGTGTCCAATGGTGCGTATGCTGCAGGTGATATTGAAGGGTTGGTTTTCTACTTTCCTCTGTCTTTTCCTTGGAGTAGGAATGAACCAAGACAGTGGGGGCTGGGTTCTCCCCTGTGATCAAGCCAGGCTGAAGGTGAAAGAGGAAGTTGTGTTCATTTGAGCAAACCCATCATTTCC